AAATTATATTCTGTGATATTTCTAGTATATTAATTGAACTTTTTTGATATTTGTGGTACTTTATATATTTCTACTATATTTGTAGTATATTAGCTGTCATGTGTGTGGTATATGTTGGCATATGTGTATTATATGTTTATTGACAAAAAAAACAGACATTTTATTGACAACGGACATACTTTTTATTAACTTGCATCTATTGAGACATTTTTATATGGTAACAGGCATTTTTATGTGTGGTATATGTTGGCATAAGTGCATCATCTGTGTGTTTTTTTCTCTCTCAGTGTCTCAATGATGTTTTTCTTATGTACTATGGTATATCTAACTTATATTGTGTTATATGTACATTATAGTAATGATAACTTATGTTATTTCGTAGTATATTCCAGGTATATTTTAGGTTATATTACATCTGTTTCGTAAAAAAAATCCATATTTCTGGTATATTCCAGGTATATTTTTTTCCTCCAAAAATCATATACAACGCGCTAGCAAAGAAAATTAAATTTCTCACAAAAAACCGCATATTAGATGTTTAAACATCAAATTAAATTATATAAAAATATATGAAAAATCATTACAATTATTTTGGACTCTCATCTTTTCGGATTCCTACAAGTTTTGACATTGTGCCCTTTCTCATGACATTTGCTGCATCTATTTTTTGACCTATGCTCCCATCCTGACTTTACCCGCTGCTTGCGTGGTCGCCCGGGCCTAACACTTGCAATGGGGGGATTTACCAAAGTTTTGTTAGATGGTGCTTGAAACGTGAATGCTATATTACCTTCAATTGGTATAACAGCATCTTCGTAAGTTGCCAACATGGTAGAGTTTAGGTAGTACAAGGAACAGAATGGGACCGGATCCATGTGGAGTGACCTTATAACACGTATAGCGTGCAGGCAGGGCAGCTCATCAACTTGAAAGCGGTGGCATGTGCAGGACTTAGACTCTATGTCTACTATAAATGCCTTGCCGTCAGATATCACTTTATACACTTTCTCACTAGCTTTCTGTACCTGTTACACATAGTAGTATATGTAGAGTACTTTTTGAGTATATATCAGGTAATAAGCACCCAACAAAAACAAAAAAAAAAAAAAAAAAAGGAACACAACGAAAAAAAATAAAAAAATTCTTACTGAATATCTTGCAGCTATTTTGTAATTATTCTCCAACAAACTATGTGGCTTCTTTGCAAGTGGAGTAAAAGTGCCCTTGGCTTCATCTCGATTAGCCACATTCCATCTCTGTTGCATGTCCCTTAGCGCCTCTAGCAGTGTTGTTATCGGTAGGTCACGAACGGATCGGATTGCAGCATTTATTGATTCAGCGGCATTAGATGTCATGGTAAAGTATCTATTTTTGGGACAGTGAATTCTTGCCCATTTGTGAAAGCCAATTTTTTCAAGATGTGTTACGACACTTGGATTCAACTTCATTATTTGAGACATATGCATATCGAACTCCTCTGTGGTATATGCCCTTGCTGCTGCATAAAATTCCTCTTTCACGGCTTGTGACTCCGTCTTATAATGCATCTTCAAATTATTTGAGATGTGATATGTGCAAACACAATGCGCCGCATTAGGGAATACCTATATAAATAAGAGATGATTGTTTATTGTATGTTATAGTATATATATATACACATGAACAACAAAGTCATGAACAAATTAAATAGTATATATACCAGAATATAAAACTAAATAAATTCCTCAAAAAATGACACAGTATATATAACATGATATATAACCAAATTTCAATGAAATATACTATCAGTATATGTCTTCAAAACTCCTTCAAACAATGACAGAGTATACATACATGCATATATAACTAAATATATCTAAAATATACTGACTATCAGGATATCACTAAAAACTCACTGAAAAATGAAACAGTATATGTACCAGAATATATAACTAAATACAACTGAAATATACTATCACCTGTTCTACGGCGTGTTTTATGCTTTCGTGACCATCTGAAACAATGCAAAGACCATCCCGCTCACCAACAACAGCTTGCAATTTTGTGAAAAACCACACGTAGGAGTGGTTATTTTCCGAGTCAACAATGCTAAATGCAAGCGGTAAAATGTGCGAATTTGCATCTTGACAACATGCTGTTAACAAAAGTCCTCCGTACGCCGAAGTCAAAAATGTACCATCAACAATAACAATTGGCCGACAATGGGGCCATCCTTTAACAGATGCCCCGAGTGACATGAAGACGTACAAGAAATTCTGATTCAAAGTGGTGCTCACCTTAAAAATGCTACCCGGCTTTGATTCACATACCTTCAAAAGATATTGATGAACGTAATTGTACGATTCATCAACTTTGCCACGTACTTCATTAATAGCTTTCCGTTTTGACCTCCACGCTTTGTGGTACGTCAAGTTTATCCCATATTGACTTTGCATGTCGTCAATGATATCAAGGGGATTATATGCAGTCTTCGTGTTCGTGAATTTGAACTTGATAAAATCACTAACAACGGTTGAGGTCGCCTGTCTCTGGTTACTTGTTCGAACATCCAACGCACAATTATGTTCCGTCCCGACGCCCCTTATCTTAAACGTGTTTGATGTACCGAGACGTGATGCTTTCATAAACCATGAACAATCACTCGATACACACCTATATAAACAAGAGAGGATTGTTTATTGCATGTAATTGTAAATATATATATATATATATATATATATATATATCTATATATGTAACATGAATGACAGAATAGTTGACGACAAAGTATATATAACAGAATATATAATTATCTATCACTGAAAAATCACTACAAAAAGTTATAATTTACCTTACATATACCATTTATATACTCTCTGAAAAATTATAACGCATATATACAATAAATATAAAACCGGAACAAATTTATACTTTAAATATACCCGGTTCAAACTTAAACATACCATACATATACCACGTGCAAACATCAGTTCTACCTCAACAAAAAACAAAACAATAAACCAAATTATTTTTACCTTATATATACCATATTATATACGCTGTTCAAAATATCACTGAAACCTTTTGAAAAAACGCCACAGTAAATATACCAGAATATATAACTAAATATCACTGGAATATACTAAATAAAATATAACCATTGAACACGCCTGAGAAAAAGGAACTACACAGTAAAAGTTTGCAAAAATGAGACACACCTTACATAGTACTGCCGGGAACAAGACTTCTCCACCTTGAATTGATACTGATGCTTTATAGCATCCATTGTCAACAATTTCTGCAACTCTTTTTTATCCTTTATCAAACGACCCGCAACAAATCGAGAGTCAACATTTTGTTCGATTGTCAACCCCATACCACTATCAGGGTTTATGTTAAGCATATTCTCGGTATCTGCTGCAACTTGTACCATATCCTCAGCTACATTACTCGCGAAAGACATGAAATTTATCGAGCCATCTGGGATATCAGGGTACCTGTCAAGACCCGGGTAACTCAATGGTGCAACATTTGTCTCGGTATTCATAGAATTCGTATTTAATTCAATCTGCGACGAATTTTCAGCAATACTATGAGCCTTAACCTCCAAGCATATCGGATACTTCGTGTAGTCAGCTTCTGTAGACCTCAAGAAAAAATAGAAGTTCATGCTTTTGTCGTCTTTTATGGACATTGGTGGGCAATCTTCCTTCAGCTTATATTTCAGTTCAATGACCGATGATTGGGACATCACCCCGAACTCAGCACACAATATACCACATAATTCTTCGAATGTGCAATCTTTTCGTATCAAAACACCTGAAAGACGGAAGTTCACGTAATCGTTCATGATCCATTCACCACCGTGATGTATGAAAATCATCATGCTCGAATCCATCTACAAAGAAAAAAAAAATTCCATTAATCGTTCTTGCACAATAAGCGTTAAAATCAAATAATATACGTTAAAAAAAAATACATACGCTCAGCGATTTTGGATGAAAATTCCGCACTCTCTATATGTGCAGCGATTTTTGGATGAAAATTCAGCTCGAAAAAAATCTCTGTATACGTGCAGCAACTCAATATACGTGCAGCGATTTTCGATGAGTTTTTCGATCGACACACTCTCAGTATATGTGCTGTGATTTTTGGTCGATCCACGCTCGATATATGTGGAGCGAGTTTGGGTGAAAAATCCCATCGATCCACTTTCAGTTTATGTGCATCGATTTTGGATCGTGAGCTCGTAAAATCACGGAAAATCCGATGGAACGTTGACGAGATAGTTGTTTGAATAATTCTGTATTTTTTAGCAGTTACCATCCCATAATTCACGTCAATCAGATATGGAAGGGATGAAGTTACCATGTAACTGAAGATTAGGTATTCACGTAAATATATTTGGTCTATCAAGTATCTTCCAAATTATTTGTTTCTTAATGACAAATTTGATATTATTTGAATATCACGTAGGAAGCTTGAAAATTTTCCCTATTTTTACAACTCACTGAAAAATCTAACACTCCAGAAACTGAATATTTTGTTCCTGTTATTTTTCTCTCTTGCTTGGCGTATCTTCAGCACTGCTGAATGCCTTCTATTTATAGGGACTAAAATACATGTGAACAGATGAAGCCTTCCTCGCTCTTTCCAAAATGAATTGCACCTTTTCATTTTTTTTTTATTTTTTTTTTCTTTTGTTTTCTTTTTCCACCGAAAGTGGCCGCTCCACTTCTTTGTGGCTGGACCCCACATTCTGCTCAATGTTTTTTTAATGCTTTGACATTGTTTTTGCACATAAAATGTTAAAGAGATTTTGGATGCGATGGTTTCCAAAGTTTGAGAGTGATGACAAACCTTCAAATTTTCCCACCCTTTTTTCAAGTGTAACTTGTACGAAAACATTTGTAACATAAAATCCACAAAAATTAAAGCGAGACAGAAAATATATATATATATATTTAATTAAAGATCCTCAATATATTACGTACACATTGTATCACCATGTGACATATTAGCTAAAAGATATAGGGAAACAAAGCCTTGACATCCTTTGGAAAAATTCCAAACTTGGACTCGTACCATTTTCTGGTGGCATAACTCCTTCCCATCAAGTACAAAACCATTCCCATGGCATGAGAAATCGCAAAGACCGATTGCGAAATGCAACAAATCCCAATAAACCCAATAATTTCGAACAAATAGTGAGGGCACACCACCAAAGAAAAGAGTCCGCCACGTGGCATCTCGTAACGCTTTTCCTTACCCTTAGTTCTAAGAGTGGATAGAAGGTAATGGTGGTAAAAATTACCAGTGATGCCCAGTAAAAAAATCGGGATCCCAATGTATTTGAGATCAATATCTGGTTGTGAGGCTCCCAGTTGAATCGAATGTTGATTGTATATGATTGTGGTCGCATATGTGAAGTAGCTTAGAGAGATGGAAATCATGGCGTCCACGTCCATCCACCCACTGTATTTGTGAACCAAAAGAACCTAGCCACAAAAATAGTTAAAAAAAAACATATTAAATATGATCATAATTTTAAATTACTACAAATTGCAATGCTCGCTTAAAAAGGACAAAAAAAGGCATAAAATTTTAATGAAACAAGTTATTTTCAGACAGCAGTTTTAAAGTAAAATAAACATCCATTATGC